GTGTTATGGTAATTTACCCACGCACGCATGGACTCTCCCAGCTATAAATAGGAGCAGGTACTGCCTTCTATAGAGGGAGGTTTCCAGCAGTCAGCTCTGACAGTCGGGTCGAACATTCTTGTTGTAACACTCTCGTTTGTATTAATGTTTTCTGTTAATATATTTGTTTAACTCAATTCCTCTCTCTGTGTCTTTATTTCTGGCCCTAACAAGGCCACAACAATAAGTCATACCTCTTCAGGACGTAAGAGATCATAGCGCTCCACAACTTCCTATCTTTATCACTTGTAACAGTATTGTTTTTTCTTTACTCGGCTTGTGCCATATCGCATCGTTTCTCGTACAATCACGGCAGTTAAGCAACGTCGAGCCTTATAATTGCCTACATGGGTGACCGCTTGTAAATATCAGGTGCTGCAAGCTTGGATGTGCGGGTGGTGCAATATAGAATTGCTCTGAATTTGAAACGGAGAGCCGAGGTCCAATTCCAGAGAGGTTCGTTTTATTCACTTATGCGCAAATACTATTGGAAAAGGCATGAATCCATCTCTTCCCTTCAACTATGGATAAATTAGTAGTACCTGTATCAGTAAAAATCCTTATTGCGTCCAAAAATTCTTACAATCCAAAAATATTTTCTGGCTGTAAATAACCTTCAAATGGTTGATAAACCATAAAAAAGAAAATTATATCACGTTGCCATAATGCTCTTCGAAAAGGCATGAGTCCATCCTCCCTTTCATCAATACCGCATCATAATAATCGACAGAGACGTGAAGTGTGAGTATGTGGCAATCCGTTCTATTAAAATATTTTCTGGCTTTAAATAAAGTTCAAAGGGGTGATAAACCGTAAAAAACACAAGCTCGTTAGATTGTTTATTCGCTGTTTCCCCCCGTTCCTCTTGCTTTCAATATATCCTGTTAGTACCAAACTTTCCTAGCCTTCTTTCCTCATTATTTGCTAACATTTCAATTGTCTCTTTTTTATTCCAAGTATAAGACTCATTTTTGTTTTCCTTTTTATTAAAAAAATTCTCGCCGATTACATAATCTGTCCATAGTATTCTCAGCATCCTTCTGTAGAACCACATTGCTTCAAGACTCCTCTTCATCAGTGGGAAAATTGTTCGCCATCCACTATAATATGAGGACAATGATATGACACAGCATTTTATCATACTTTTCTTTCTTCCTGTTCGTCCCTTAATAAGTTAGTTAGCCCTTCCATTATCTCAGATAAATAATGGACAATTCCGTTTTGATTACGACTAAAGATGGAAAATATATCGATCCGAGATGTTATTCTTTGAAATTTTTTCACTCCAAGCAAGGTAATAAAGCCAGTAAGACGCAAAGGGATACTGATTTTCAGAGAATATGAGAAAATCTTCAATTAAGAAGAAAGGACAATAAAAGAACGGGTTTTAAGAAGACTGTATATAACGGTTGACATTGCAGTATCTGTCTATATTTCTGAGGTGACGTATTATGTACACTAGTTACATTGTTCTGAATATCATCCTTATCTTTGTTGCCATATTTATCGAAAAGTTTCGGCCGTTGTACGCAGCGACCTGTCGAATTGAACCCTTTATTTCGCTCGCTGGGGTAGACTGTTCTAGTTCTACGTGCCATGTCTAATGGATGTCAGTTATCAGTAATCTACTGTTAATTGCCCTCTCCAAATGGTTTATAGAGGAGAACATGACTAAAGACTGCGTGTACGCTATCCCGTGCAGCTGCGGAAAGAAATATAAAGGGGGGACAGGCTGCTCCCTTAAGATAAGGCTTCAAGAACACCAGAAAGCTGTAACACAAAGAGAAGAGGAGAAATCAGGCGTAGCAGACTACATATGAAGAGAAAAGGAGAACACTGCCCTCTGTGGGATCAGGTTGAGATCATAGACAAAGAACATCATTGGAAAAATTCGTAAACTTAAGGAATCAGCACATATGCTAGGCCACAAAAATCTCCTGAGCCGGCCAAGCATAGAAATGAATACAATATGAGAACCAGTAATACGGAGTGACAGATAGTTAAGCAATAATAACAATGAAAATTGCAATATGAGCTCTGGTAAAAAATATGATATGATACCAGCAAAATTTGCTGTATGATACTGGTAAAAATAGTTGCTGAAGATATTAAGTTTATAAGTCTCAGAAATTCATACACAGATATCCTGAAGGACACATGGCACAGTGGATAAAGGCGTTGGTTAGATCCAGTGACAGGACCCAAAGAGTTCAATACCTGTTTAAGTGGAGAACTTAGAGAGGGGAATTAACAGACATGGCCCGTGGAACAGAAAAGAACTAGAACAGTCTACTCCAGCGAGTTAAATAAATGGTTCAGTTCGACATTCCAATCACCTGAAGAAGGCCGGACCGTACAACCCGTGCTGCTGCGGAAAGAAATATAAAGGGGAGACAGACCTCTTCCTTAAGGTAGAGCTTCAAGAACACCAGGAAGCTGTAATACGAGGGGAAGTGGAAAAATCAGGCGAAACGTTGGAATAAATATGACAACGAAGACAAAGATGTTCTCAGATGGATGGAGAGAAATTGCCTTTTCTGTACGGTTCACTATTGCGTCTAATATGTGAAGAGGGGGGGAATAGCTTTAGTAGTAGCCTAAGACGGAAGCACATGGAAATCCGCCTCGTGAGACAATTCCCTGGCCATCTGAAGATTATCCCTGATTTAAACATGAAGGCCATGTATGTGAATGATCGAATCTTTTCAGCAAAGGGGAAGGCAGCCTGGAAGCAAGAATTCATTGGTAGCAATGAAAGAATTCAAGTTGGGTTTACAGAGGACACAGATATCTGACCACTTTTTCAGGAGGCAACGATTTTGCTCTGCAGACGTTCGAAGGGATACCATGAATATTGAAAGAGAAAGATTGATGGGTGGGGGTAGGTGGTTATGTGTGTGTGTGTGTGTGTGTGTGTGTGTGTCTCTCTCTCTCTCACTGTGTGTGTGTATGTATTTTCAAAATCAGGAAATCAGTTGAATCCGCTACTTTGGTTTCAAACTTACGCTCTCCTCAGGCGATTTTGTTTCAAATGACCTCTTAACGCTTTACTGTTTGAAAAATACTAATGAACGCTATATTATTATTAAAAATAAATAAATTAACGCATGACGGCGGGTGTAATAGAAAGAGAGGAGGAGGATTTGAAGAAGGAAAGAGAAGAAGAATGGAAAAAAGAAGAAAAGCAAGTTTTACTCAGTTGAGCAATGGTGAGAGGAAAAAGATCATTCAGACCCTAAAAAAACACCAACTCATTCCATAAGATGTTTGGCACGTGAGAGAGGAATTTCAGTTATGGCAGTCCGAAGAGCAGTGAAAAAAAGACTTGAAAATGAAATCGTACGTGAAACCTGTGAAGCACCTTGCTACTCCAGGACAGAAATTTAGATGGTTGGAGAAGGCGAAAATCATCTTGAATAAGTTGGAAAACGAGATTGGTATAATATATATATATATATATATATATATATATATATATATATATATATATATATATATATGAACTTAATTTCAATCTTTCATGAGTTTCCGATCTTTAGTTGTGATTAATTAATGGTGAACATGTCATTTTCCTTTATGATCGATTTAACGATTTTTCTGTTAACCTTGGAGAGTCATTAAAAGTTCTTATTGCTTAAAGTAGAGTTCAATAGTGTTATTCCAGTAAGATATCTTTAATCATTTCTAAGATACAACGGTTCAGAGCTTAACCTAACAATTGGACAATTTTGGTGTTACACCATTTGTACAATTTTGCTGTTACATATATATATATATATATATATATATATATATATGTGTATATATATATATATATATATATATGTGTGTGTGTGTGTGTGTGTGTGCTGCATGCTACTGCATGAAGGACAATCTATTGTTATTATTATTAATGAAAAGTCCTTCGTTTACTCATCCAGACGCAAGGACCCCACCCTTTTCTAAAATTTACGACATTCTTCGTAAAATGTGACATTTTTATTAGCCTAAGTGCCTCGAAATGTTCTTCGTCCTGTCACTCAGCCTCGGGTCAGATACGATCAGCGTCTCCACCCAGACCGATGTCATCGTCTTGCTTTTCACGTACGTCTACACAAACGCGCCATATTGCATCCTGAATACACGTCTAAACAGTGGTGTAGAAACTACAGGATTTAAAACCTATGTCGGTTGGTTTATTATGGCGTTCTTCCAGAAGTCACCGTTTAGAGTAGAGGAAAAGCGAATGAAATTCGAGGTCTATTACAGATCAGTGGTAACGAGTATGAAATTAGCGAACATGTAGATACTTGCATCTCAGTTAAAATTACGTTTTCTTCTTATCAGTACGTTTAGCTGAAATACTTCAGAGATGGGACGAATACATCGGAGGACCCTTCTCCAACGAAATAGGAAAACCTGCAATACACAATAACATGTTATGACGTGAAATATTAATCTGAAGAAACAACTAAACGGAATTGGTTATCTTGTCTGTTAATTCACCGCCAAAATAATGTAAAGATCGCAGATATTAATTCACCCCAAGAAATTATAAATTTTAAATCAAAGTTTGTTTTTGTATTAATTTTTGGCACTCTTTGGAAATTATAAATTTTATATCAAAATAGGCTTAGCTTGATTTCCAACAACTCCGACTCTCAGAATAAAAAAAAAAATGACCAAAAATCAGGGAGTTATTCACATTTCGGAAGTACGGATGCTATTCATGGTACTTAAAAGGAATTATTTACACTTTAAAACAAAAGAAAAAATGTTTTTGGCTTGTTTATCGGGAATGAGCGTGAATGCAGACCCCACAATTAGAAATAGAGCATCCGAGTCGCTCACATTTGGAACGATAGCAAAGATCAACCCAACCATAGGCAGTGGAAGGGCTTCGCTTTTAGAGAATTTGGTGTGGATTTTAATAAATACATATTCTTTTTTTTTATTTTGGGAAGTTTAATATTTTGAGGTGA